CAAACATTAATTATAATATTATTAGTTGTGTAGTAATATTAATCCTGATTCGCCTATGTTTTCTTGCAAATTTATTGTTCAAAGAATGGATTTAATGCTTATTGATGATGTTAAATCGCTCAACAATAATAAACCTTATAATAGATTTTCTGCTGAATCTGTGAGCGTTAAAAAATATTGGAAGGTGAGCAAATAATTCTAAGGTTATATATGGTCCTTTCACTTACACAAATCAATAAATTAATAAATTAAAATTTTTTGCACAAAAATAAAGTCATTAGGATTTGTTAAAACAGCCTCTTTAGATTTTGCTGAAATATTACTTCGAACAAATAAAGGTGAAATATATCCACACTTTGAGGTAATTAATTAATTTTAATTATCATTAATTATCGATTGATTAAATATTTATAAACATCTAACTTCAATAAAACTATAGCTTGAACTTACAAATGAAAATCTTATAATAGAGACATGTGCAGATGCATTTCAAACTTTAATTGCTTTAATGACTAACATTACATCAAAGAATGGTACATCTGAAACAAAGTATGTAAAAAGAAAACATCCATCAATATATTTATTCGCTTTATATATTTGTGATTTATGATTATTTTATTTTTAAAAAATGACAAATTATCAGAGTTCCACTTAATCGAAAAGAAAGATTTCATCGAAAAGATATAAATCTTGATGGTAATTATTTAAACATAAATGTCTTATATTTCTATTTCTATAATATTAATTTGCTTTTAATTATTTAGCACTTAAAAAAATTATTGAAGAGGATGTCTTTACCCCCCTGGAGATAAATTCATCAAATCCTGAAATATCAAATTCTAATTTGGAGTTTGATGAAAAATTTTATGGCACAGAAGAAGATGATAAAGAAGACTATGAGAAAATCATAATGGATGATGCTAATGAAGGTAGTAATAACTAACATTTATTTTATTTTACTATCAATAATTATTTCTTGAAATTTATATATATTTATATGTATTTCTAGTTTCTTCCAAGCCGGATAAAAAAAAAAATATCAAGCCTGATATTACATTTGATGATGATATTAGTTCAGATTCTGATAATAAACATTTAGATTCTGATAATGAATGTTTAAATTTTGAAGATGACCATTTCTCTGTGCCAACTGCAAATGAACTTGAAAATATCAATCAAGAGTAATGATTTTATTAATCTATTTAAATTATTATTTATTTGTTTAATATTCATGCCTTTTTCCTCCTAATTTTATAGATTTCCAAAATCTTTAACAAGAATAAAATTAAACGATTTTAATGTTATATGGAAATTATATGATGGATATGATTGGAAGCACACAAAAGATCAAATTCTAGACTTTAATCTCGAGAAGGCACCAACAAATCCCATAGAAACTACAGAAAGCATATCAAAAGGGGGAATAGGTCCTTCAATAAGTGAAACCAACAACATTAACAACATTAATTATTATTCAAATAAACGACCAGAATCAATTACAAATTCTTCTTCTGCTGCTGTTGGTGGTGTAACTAATAAAATGTCTTCTAGCCAAACAAACAAACAAAGAATTAATAGCTCAAGAAAAAGTAAACTCGATATAAAGCTTGACAAAATAAATTTGGAATTTGATATTTTTCCTGCTAATGATGTAATAGCTTTTCGATTGTTGTTACTTGTTCAAGATATTGAGATTATTGATAATATTAAAACTTCAGCATGGCATAAATTCTTAACACAAATGCATCCAGACAAAGATACAAAACCTAGAGAAAGCAAATCAAACATGATAAGATTTGAATTAAATAGTATTCGTTCAATACCTTCAGAACCTGCAGAGGAATTTCGAATAAAGGTTTGTGTTTGAGACATTGTCAAGATTAAGATTTGAATAGAAAATTTCTTTAAAAAAAATATTGAAAATTTTTTCTGATCCTTTTTTATATAGTTACAATTGTTGCCACTTAGATTTTATATAGATCAAGATGCTCTTAATTTTTCAATTGGATTTTTTTCATACAAAGACAACACAATAAATATAAATCAAGTTGAAGATGATACATATTTTCGTATGTTTTTATTTTTATTTCAATAATTAGTTAATTTAGAAAAATTTATAAAATATTATGGTTAATTAATGACATATTTATATAATTATAATTTTTAGAATATTTCGAAATTCAACCTATTGTTATGAAAATAGATTATAAACCAAAACATATTGATTATACTAATTTGAAAGGAGGAAATCTAGTAGAATTAATGAACTTTTTCCATTTTGAAGCAGCGGAAATGACATTAAGATCTGTTAAATTAACAGGAGTAGGTCATTTTTTTTTTTTTTAGAAAATAAATATTGTCATTGTTATTTTAAAAATTTAATTATAAAATTTATATTATAAACCCTACTAATTTTACCAGGTCAAAGGTTGGCAACGACTATTTGAAGAGTTAGGAGCAGCATGGTTACCACATATAAAAAATACACAGGTTCCAAGTTTTGTATCTGGTGTTACCCCAATACGATCATTAGTTAACATAGGATCTGGTGTTGCTGATCTTATTCTTTTGCCAATTGAACAATATAAGAAAGATGGTAGAATAATCCGAGGTTTGTGACTTTTTAGAGTGATGTTAACAATGATATTAATAATGATGATGATTTTGATTTTTTTGTTATTAATTTGCAAATTCACTGATTACTTTTCATTAATCAAGGTCTTCAGAAAGGTACACAATCATTTGCAAGAGCTACAACTATGGAGGCTATTAAATTTGGAACAAAACTTGCAGTTGGCACACAGATTTTACTGGAACATGCAGATGAGATTCTTTCTTTTGAAACACAGCCAAGAACAAACAATAGAAATGTTAGTGAAGATCTGGAGGATAATAGTGAAGAAGAGGATGATGATAAAGAACTTATAAGTAAATATGCCAATCCACCAGCTGATTTAAATGAAGGTATTTTGAATATCATTAGTTTACTTTTATAATTGAACATTAAATATATAATATAACGTGATTATTTATTGTTATAATTATTAGGAATTGAAGCTGCCTATAAAAGTTTAAGACAGAATATCGGAGCAGCAACTCACACAATATTTGCAGTACCAATGGAAGTATATGAGAAAACAGGAACTCAAGGAACAGTTAAAGCTGTTATCAGGGCAGTTCCTGTAGCAGTGCTAAAGCCAATGATTGGTGCATCCGAAGCAGTTTCTAAAACATTACTTGGATTAACAAGCACCATGGATCCAACCAAAAGACCACAAATGGAGGATGTAAGTGTTGTTGATTTTTTTTGTTGTCAAATTTTAATTCATTAAATATATTAAATTTTTTCAATTTTGACAGAAATATAAAACGACAAAAAAAGTATAAGTGATAAAAAACATTTGGCAAAAAATTTTTATATGCTTATTTGTATATTTTTATTTATTTATTTATTATAATTGATTTACAACTATATATCACTATTATAAAAAAAATTTAATTATAAAATTTGCATCTCTCCTTTGTTATTTTTTTGGTTTTTATTTCTGAAAAAAAAATGCATTGTTCCTGCGATTATCAAAAATTATAATTACTCACAGTTCATGATAACAATTGGAACCCATATAGAATTTTAATTTTTTACACGTATTTGTTATTAAACAATCAATCAATGGTGAGCTGTTACACAACTAACTATCAAGGATAAAAAAATATCAGAAGGAAATATATATGCTGTTTTGTATTTATTGTTAAATGATTAGTCTTTTCTTTAAAATGAAGATATAAGAGAGGTACATGACAAGGATCACTTTCAATATATATAATAATGATATTTCAGTGAAAACATCAATCCATATGTGGGGCATGCTGCAACAAAACCAGACAAAGTGAACATTGGTATTACCAAATCAAAATTTAATAGTTGATTATTAAAACTCCTACTTGCTATCTTCTTAATATTAATTGATGTATAGAATTATACCCTATATAAAATAATTAATAAATCAGTATAAAAAAAATATATATGATTAATGTCTTTAGCTTTTTACAATAGAAAAATAATTTAATTTAAATAAATAAATAAAAATGTTTTATTTATTAAACGGAATCTAGGCTTTCTATTATAATTAGTACTGTTTATGTTTATTTTGTGAACCCAATGCCGATCATTTCTTAAAATTGAATGCCTGCTACGTTATGAATTCCACAAAAAAAAATCCCGGGCTTGTTACTGTTCAAATCGAATGTAATTAAATAAGGAAAGTATGAAAAATGTTACATATCTTATATTAATATCTGGATTCATAATATCCAGTGTCCGTATAGCGTAGCAAAACAATGTTTTGTGACCCTTGCGTCCGCTGTTTAGAACAAGTTTTGTGGATACTCTCATTGACGTGATCCTGCAAGGAACTGCTTCTTTGTAGCCTACTCCAGGGGCTTGTTTCTAGTATATTCAGTATAATGTTTCCTACGTCTGTATGCGCTTAACCACATATTTAATATGCTTGGTGACTCCTACAGCCAATGCTTGGTGAGAAGACATGGATACTCTTTTATTGATATAATCCTTTATGGGGATTGTTTCTTTATAGCCTACTCCTAAGCTTCTTCACCAGAAAACGTTATTCTTAGCCAGATTTTTTCATTCCTCTTTCATATCTGGTGTTAACTTTTTTTTAAATAGGATGGATTTTGACTATTTGTTCTAAACATTTAGAAGAAACAGATTACACTAGCTGGAGTTTGATAAATATAATGCGTTATGTTGCGGATTGATCAATTTAACTGATGAATGTTTTGAAGAATTTATAGATTCATTGAGATCTGCTTTATACAAAAAAAATTCAACAAAAGAACCACCTTAAATCTGCAAAGAATAAGGTTCAAAAAATTTTTAAAAATCTTAATCCATCAATCAGAAATCAGAATGAAATAAAAAATTTTTTGCTGAAGAACTAAAATTTGGACAAGCGAGTAGCATAAGTTTGTTTATAATGATGCAAACAAATACTAACAAACATATATTATCATATATTTTATATGATACAAATGTTGGATTAAGTGTCATGGAAGATAAAACTATTAAAGTACAGATAAGTAATTCTGAGTATAGAGATGTGAGTATTATGGTTCTTAGCATACTGCATCTGGGCTCTTTAGATATAATCTGTTTTAATATGGTCATCATATATTTAGTTCATAACTCAAAAATTAGAATCAGACAAAAATAATGGGTTGAATGATTATACACCTTGTCCAACAATGAATGTTTATGATTTGGAGGGAAATGTGGCAGAGTCAGAAAAAGATTTTTGCGATACTAGTACTAATGTTGAAAATACATCAGAAAGAAAAAGAAAACAAGAAAGCAGTGTAATATTTGATAATGAAATGCAAGAAAGTGCTGAATTTTTACTTAATCTTAATGGATCTAATGAAGAATCTATCATTGAAAATGTTGATGAAGCTTTATTATCAGATGAAGTTCCATTACCATCAAAAAACACTGATGATAGAATTTCTGAGGTAAAGATTGATATAAATGTTTAATGAATGCATGTTTAAATAAACTCATTGTTTTATTAATAATAGGGGATCATTGATCCAAATATTATTGAATTATTTTGTAAATACCAAAAACAAATACCAAATGCACATAAAGTGCTGACATAAGTCTAGTGTTATTGTCTTAAAGCATGATCCTTTCATACTCATTAATATATTCATTCGCTAATTTTTAGTCCTACATACTGGGGAATATTGAATTTAACTAAAGAGAGTATCAAGGACTTTAAAATAAAGGATAAAGAAATCCAAAAATTATCCCTAGATTTTTCTAATAAAATCTAATGGAATAACGATGTCTCCACTCCAAGTTACATCCAAAAATATTTCAATAACAATTGTGAAAATGCTGACAAAAATGATTCTGTTAAAAATTTGGACATTAATATCCAGTTTATGTAAGCATAATGGACACTCATTTTGTGCAACAGTGATTTGTATAATGGGCAGACTGTTACACAGACCCAGTTGCTTCTGAAACTTCACTAGAATATAGCTGTAACCTCTCTAAGTCCAGATCATCAGCAAGATCAAAATTATCTCACACTTTTATAATCAAACTTTTGCAAGAACTTTCACCATAACATATGTTATGTTGATCATTTTTTTGTGATCTGCAACAGTGTCCACTATGCTGTTGGCACCTACAACTGGTTGAAAATTCTCCAACTCAGGAAGTTACAACCTGGGAAGTTGCTGTTTTGAATTTTCCCTGATTCAGAGTTTTGAGTCCTGGGTTGCTGTCTTGTTGGGCATGCCTAATCACCAACAACCCTATCCCCATTTAAATAACAAATTCAGTTGGTCAAATAAATATTAAAGGAACAGAAAATTTATAAAATGATTTATTTATATGGAACATACCAAACAAAATCTGAATCGCTTTATTTGACAGCTTTCTCCTTGATTCCAGTGATCATAGTGACAGATCCATTCTTACCCTAGAGGTAGGCAACTTTTCAGCTAGCATGCTAGCAGCCTTCACTGGTCTGGTACTGTGAGGGAAGATTAATGAAAGTGTCATTGATGCAGTTTTGATAAACTCCAGAACCATGCACTTCCCCCCTTTGAATTCTGTTGTATCATCATATCTATAGGGCGAAGCAGGTCAGATTAACCTTGTGTATATGAGTAAGGCATTGAAAATGACTATAAAGTGTTCAAGGTAGCATGTGTGCTTCAATGCCTGCTAATTTCTGATAATCAAACATTACATTTTGAAATATTTCATATTTGAATTGTTTCTTTTTCAATGGTGTGCTGCTGGTATCGTGTAATTAATTATTTATAATAATATTATTAACAAAAAGCAAAATAACAACCATTTACCATCTTGATAAGAATCTTATAATTACCCAGCAAGATCTACTCTAATTAAAATATTTATAACAAAAAAACTACAAATAAAACAAAGTAAAAATATATATATCAATACAAATAGAAAATAGTACCTCTGCCATTAACATATCTTCTTTAGGAGACTCATGTTTTGTCATCTTTGAAAATAAATTGTTTTCCATGAAAAAAAAACAATTCACATTAAACAAAAAAACAATACATAAATAATTAATGTGTAATGGCATTTATTGATCAAACAACTAATCTTTCTTTTTTAAAATACCACTACAATGTCAACAAAAAAGAAGAATAGAAGATAATTTTGTGAGATTAATGAGATTAATAGGTAGGTGTTTATCATAAGAAAGATGGTTATTGTCACTCTAGTTTTAATGTATATACAGTATATAATAATAATAATAATTACAATAACAAATCATTATAATACTGGCCTTACATCAGGAAATTAATTTAGTGTAAACTTGCATAAATCTTACGATGCCGATGTAATATTGTGTAAATCTTACAGTGCCGACGTAAGTTTTACACTTTTTTATTATTAAACTACAATTGACACATGTAAAATTTTTTTATATTTTCCGGATGTAAATTCAGTGCTTAGTTTACTAAAATTGAAGCTAAACCAATCTCATCAGTCATATATCTAAATCAAAAAGTTGTTTTATCAGAAGTTCAAATCATATAACTATTGGGTGTGACCAGGCATGCAATTTGAGGATTAACAATCCAACATATGTTGCAAGTATACAATGTATAGTTTCAATTGTAAATATGCACATAATGAAATCATTAAATATTATTATTACCATTAATTACCATCCATTTGAGAAAAACAAAAAACATGCACTATGTTAAGAATTAGATTTTGAAACAATTATAGAAAATGGTTGGAACCAGTGTTGAAAATTCAGCTGGAGGGTGTAACGTTACATCATAATTATGTGTGCACAAAATAAATTAATTAAAATTAAAATTTGTCACGCATGCCCAGACTTGTTATCAAAAAAAATTAATTTTATTGATTTAATTTAATTGAAACTTGTTTAATTTTTTTCAAATATATAAAATGTCCAACCAACCAATGGAAGTTGAAATCATTAATTTGTCAGATGATGAATTAAATAATGGTGATCAAACTAGAATCTCTGAAAATATAGAACCTAAAGAATCACATATTAGGAAAACTGCTGACCTTAAGGTTTGATGATTATCCATGGTTGAGAACTGAATATGTTAATGGAAATACATTGTTATATTGTAGAATTTGTAGAGAATGCAATGGAATAACAACATTTGCAAAAGGTACACCTTTGTTAAGAATAGATAAAATTAGAGATCATATGAGAACCTCTGAACATAAAAAATCTGAAGAATCACTTAAACCAAATGCTACAAGACAATTAAGCACAGAGAAATTAGGAATTATTTCTTTAATGAGAACTAGTTATTTCTGCTCAAAAAATAATATTTCATTGAACACTTATCCTGGCTTATGTAGTTTAATATCACTACAAATTGAAAATAGCAATGAATTAATAATTACACTTCTACTTTGAAACCTGCTTCTTTGGAAAAAAAATCACCATCTAAATCAAAATATGGGAGCTATAACAATCATATATCTGGGTTTGATTTTTTAGATAGTATTGCTTATACAATTAAAAAATCTCTCTTTGAAGAATTAAATTCCTCAGTTTATTGGAGCTATACATGATATGGTAATTAGCTAATTACCGTAAATACGTAATTCGTAATTAACGTAATTAATTACCACTTTCACTC